CTATTTTGTAACGAGCCAGATGTGCCTCGCAAGGGGTTTAATGTACCTTATTACCTGACACCATAGAACGCACGTTATCTATAGTAATAATATGGTAATTATTTGCTCCTGCTTTTTGCAATCTGTCCTCACACTGACAGCTGCCATGCTTTGGCTGACCGATGCAACGATGCCTTTGATAGCGGCCCGCCATCTATCGGAATTTTATTACACTAGTTTGAAGTGTTGTTTTTGGGGGTTAGAAATGAACGTATGTATAGGACGTCTTGCTATGCACAAATGAATTTATCAGCAGAACACCAGACACCAGATGAGCCCTGTCGCTCTGCGGCACTTGTATTGTAAAGCATCTCAAGTCTAGACATGTCATGAAAGGCTTTCTTATCGACAAACAATATTTAAGTAGTAGAAACTGTAGCTTAACTGCTTGACTTGAGTTCTTTTTTACTTTCACAGAATAAGAGATTTCAAAAGAATAATTTCTTTCACTAGATATTACAATTGTATGGATAGTATTGGGACAGAAATACCGAAGCCCTTGAGGTTGTTATCAGTTATATTTAGTATGCTGAAAGTTTTATAGCACCAATAAGATCTGTTATTGGAGCATCCACTAGGTTTTGTAATTAACCAAATTATTCCGATCGATAATGTTCCATTTAATGCATGTATGATATGCTTTTTAACGAGTTTTATATAGTCACCTTTACTTTGACCATCTCATAAATTGATGTAATTAACAATAGGCATGTAGCAGTCCTCATAAATTTTGAAGTGTAGTCTGCATGTGATAGAATGAGATATTGAGTGAACATTGTAACTATGCGCACAGCATATATATATATACATGTAAATGCGTATGTGAATATAAATTTTCCTGACGGCAGAGGTAGCGCTGTTGGCACATTTCTCAACTTGTAAGTAATTTACGAGTTAAGTTTGAGCGGGGCACGTACCCAGTGTCTGTTGGCATGCCAGGGGGCCTTTCTGCCTTTCTGCGTGCCAAGTTGTCTGTAAGTCTGCCTGTGCTGTCTGTGGACTGCTGTTATCTTTCTAAATTCTCTCAAAACCGGCCATGTTGAAGGTTCTAAATTGCTAAAATCCAAGAGCCCTAAGGCAAGCCCCTGGACCCCACCCATTACGGGCTACGCGCTAAGGCACTCGCAGTGTGCGCTACTCACACACACTCTTCGTATACTTTGCGATGGAAGTAAAGTAACAGCAAAATGATCCCCCCACCCCCACAACTGAGGACCTGTCTATGCCACTGTTTCTAACATTTACAAGATATCCATTCATGAATATTAGAGATACTGGATACAAACTTTTGTAGAAGTTAAGAAATGTATATTTGATATTGAAAGTGCATATTACATGATTAATTTGTTTTGTGTTGTAAGTTGTTTTTTAGTGAATATCAGTAACTTCTTTTAATCAAGCTGGTCACAAATGTTCTATCAGTTTCCATGATATGTGTGCTTCACGAGTAGACCCAGTTTGGGAAGTGCTAGTATTAGTACAACATTTAAATGAACTAACTAGTGTATAATGAGCCCCACTTTATCTGATAATTTCTGGAATGTTAGTAAGGTTTGGAACATTCAATGTAAAGCACATGTAATAAGAATGAGTGACCAAATTGGAGGTGCAGAAATGATCATAACTCTACCTCAATCATTCTCTGTCTTCCTTGACCAGATCCAGAAGTACCATAAATTGTTAGGTGTCATTGGTAATTAGAACTAATGTGATAATGGTGTGCTGTGGTAGTCACTGCCATATCTGTCTCTAGTACTAGTTAATAGATAGGAGCGATAAATGCTGATGGCGGTTGAAGGAATTATTTCATAAATACATGCAAAATCAAGTAAAATATAGCGAAATATAGTTTCACCCAATAGCGAACATGTTACTGATTACTCCATATAAATCTCTTGCTATGAGTTTATGATGTTATGGTATATAAAATAGCAAGTAATGCAGCCACATTTTTTCGTATAGTTTTAATTTGCTTGAAATTGGTAACCACCAGACAGAAGTGTATCTCATTGATTGACGTAGTGGTTCTAGACTGGTACAACATATCTATTGCTTAAAAGTCAAGTTACCATATCAAAGTACAGGCATGGGGTTTTGCAAGAAACGTGGAATCGGCATCAAGTACCTGCCTCAACACGATGTAAACAAACAGATTTTGTTGTATATTATTATTTTGTGAGAATAACAGTGTATGGGTGTTCTAGGACATGTTAGCCTCACTTTAGACACTTGCAGTTACCCAAGAATTACTAGTAACTATTGTAGTGGTTGGATAGATACGAGAACGGTCAACGGAAGACTGTTTGAAATCCTTGCTTTAATGTCTCATTATTAGCTCATCTGACATAGTCAGATGCAGCTTGTAGAATCGCATGAGCGCGCGTCCGTGCGTGCGTGCGTGCGTCCGTGCGTGTGTCCGTCAACGGTTGGGCACAAATATAAACGGCCCGACGTACGGATTCGAAAGTCGGGACGTGGGGGGGTAATCTGAAAACGAGTTGGAATGTCGAAGCTGGGGGTCAAAGGTCAAGAGGTGTAAAAGAAGGGAACATTCCATCCTTAACTTAAGGTATAGGGAGGAAATGCAGAATTGCGGCAAAAATCTAAACGGCTCGACCTAGGCTCGTGATAGTCGGTGTATAGGCATCTGATGGTAGAAAAACCATCACTGCTGCGGAAATTGGAAGGTCACAGGGCAGGATCAAAAGGGTCAATGGGGGCACAGGACAGATTTAGACATTTTCTCGAGGGCCACATAGTTCTGACGGAGCCGATTGAAAACTTTTTTGTTTCAGCGCGTGACTGCTAGCCATTTTTTATGGCTTTATTGCGAAAGACCTATGAAATGTACTTTTCCGCTGGACATGCGAAGAGTTGCAGATAACCTTCTTGACCCTCAAGGGGAGGGTTAAATCATTGATTTGTTAGCCAAACTGCGCTATGGGCGAGTGACCGATGTGGGTCTTGCGAAAGCTTTACCAGTGAAAACTTCCACACATGAACTGCTCTAATTCTGTATAAAAAAGGGCGGCCAATAAACGCTTGTACACTTGGGAGATTAATCGAGCAGAACTGACTTTCTATATAACAAGAGATTCTGTTAGTGGGATAGACGATGATATGAATGAGTTGGAAAATACAGTCACTAGCACTCAAATAATTAACCGCAGGAGCTGAGGGCTGCGGATTTCCCAGACTTAATTTTTTCTCTCATCTAAACTCTTTTATTGGCACCAATATGACGCACAGTGTGTTGTACATTTCATTGATGCTTATTTCGGTCCACTAATCACTGGCTTACTAGTGTAGCTGGAAATTAGTTACAGCATATTTGCATTCGTAATTGGCTGTAAATTGTAATCCTTGCACGAGCTAGCTCTGGTTGTCTATCACACAATTGAGCTATTTTCGTAACGGAGCCAGTACCTGTGCTACCGGCAAGGAGGTGTTAATGTACGCTATACCTGACACCATAGAACGACACGTTATTCTATAGTAATATAATATGGTATTATTTGCTCTCTGCTTTGTTGCAATCTGTCCTCACACTGACAGCTTGCCATGCTTGCTGACCGATGCAACGATGCCTTTGATAGCGGCCCGCCATCCTATCCGGAATTTTATTTATCACTAGTTTGAAGTGTTGTTTTTGGGGGTTAGAAATGAACGTTATGTAAGGACGTCTGCTATGCACAAATTGAATTTAATCAGCAACACACGCAGACACCAGATGACCCTGTCGCCTGCGGGCACTTGTATTGTAAAGCATCTCAAGTCTAGACTGTCATTGAAAGGCTTCTTATCGACAAACAATATAGTAAGTAGTAGAAACTGTAGCCTGTAGACTGCTTGACTTGATTCTTTTTTACTTTCACAGAATAAGAGATTATCAAAAGAATAAATTTCTTTTCACTAGATATTACAATGTATGCATAGTATTGCGGACAGAAATACGCGAAGCCCTTGATGGTTGTGTTCATCTAGTTATATATTAGTAGTGGCTGAAAGTTTATTAGCACAACATCAAATCTGTTCATTGGAGCATCCCACTAGGTTTGTGTAATTAACAACATTATTCCGATCGATAATGTTCCAATTTATATGGATGTATTGATATGCTTTTGAAGCAGGTTTATATTAGTCACCTTACTTTGACGCGATCTCATAAATGAATGTAATTAAACAATTAGGCATGTAGCAGTCCTCCATAAATTTTGAAGTGTAGCACTGAGCATGTGGATAGAATGAGATATTGACGTGAAATCTGTAACTATGCGCACACATATATAGTAATATATCATGTAAAATGCTGTATGTGAATATAAATTTCACTGACGGCAGAGGTAGCGCTGTTGCACATTTCTCAACTGTTAAAGTAATTTTAGCGAGAGTTAAGTTTGAGCAGGGCACGTACCCAGTGTCCTGTGCAGCCAGGGCCTTTATCTGCCCTATTCTGCGTGCCAAGTTAGGATCTGTAAGTCTGCCTGTGCCTGTATTGACTGCTGTATCTTTCTTTCTTCTTTCTTTCCTCTCTCTCTCTCTCTCTCTCTCTCTCTCTCTCACACACACACACACACTCACACTCTCTCTCTCTCTTTCCCCTCTCCATGCCTCATCCCCTCCCTCCCTGCCTTTATCTCTCTCTCTCTCTCTCTCTCTCTCTCTCTCTCACACACACACACACACATTCACACTCTTTCTTCCTCTCACCCCCTCTCTAGCCTGATATTGAGATTTGAAGATAAGCACATTCGTTTCCTGTGGCTTATCTATTATGGCTCGTAAATTTACACCACTGGAAGTGAAACTCTAAATACCCTTCTTATTTCTAGCGAACTGTTTCTCTCAGACATGATAGCAGGCACATTGAATCAGTTATTAACTTATAACTCTGTGGACACTTGATAACACTTGATACATGTTCAACATTATTATAATTTATATCAAAGTTATTTTTATAGGCCAGCAAAATGAACAGGAACTGGCAACGAAGATGCTCCAGATTCAGTCCAAGCGGTTCTACTTGGACGTGAAACAGAACAAGCGAGGGAGATTCATAAAAGTAGCTGAGGTAACTCTGATGATCTGCCAGAGTGATTGCTGTTAGCTGCAGCCGTCATTTCACACTGATTTTACTGCGCTTCTGGCAAGCCTACACTTATCTCTTCCAGTTGGTAGTTACATAGAGCTAAATATAGTGGTTAGAACATGAAGACTTGTGTGGTAGTTAGCTATATAGTATAGTATTCTGTAGAGTGAATAGCTCACATGTTTTTTTGGTGGTTAACTGTATTGAGTGTCATATTGCGAAGGTTACCCCCACACACGCCCTATATCGAGTGTTATCTTGTGATGATTAGCCCACATTTATATCCGACAGTAGGCTGAATCGAGTGAGATCTTGTGGAGCTTACCCCAAACATCTCCTTTGCTAGCTAGCTACTTTTCAACTCTCATCCCGAGAGGATAGCTATATATAGATCTCACTTGGTGCTGAGCTGGTAGCCAGTGGATATGTAAGCAGTGTTAGCTATATAGTGTCGGTAAACTTCCTGTGATGGATATCCATGTATGTCATAATGATGGAACAAGGTGTCAATGTGCAGTAAATTCCAGTAAATGCAGATGTGTTAAATTTCACCTTTTTTGATTGCACAAAATATTAAAATGATGTGCAGATGCCTAGGGGTAAACACGAGTCTAAGTGTATTCGTTGATGTTTAGGAGAACATCTGAAAATCCTATAGATAACAGCGAGACCAGCCCAAAAATATTGTGGCAGTGTTTACGCAGATCCATAACGTGGGTCTGCCAGGGTGATGCAAAGTTTGGTCTAAGACTGGGGATGCTTGGGGTATTTTTCAATTACTAATTAAGACCTATAGAAACTGCTCACCTCTTAACATGAGCTAATTCATATGTCATTTCTTTGACTTCTTTTTTATGAGGAAAATGCATGTGTGTGTTGCGTAGACAGAAGGACAGAGTTATACTTGGCATGTAGCTGCAGTTTGGCAATAGCTCATTATTCAGTTAGAAATTTGTTTGGCAGTAAATTTTCCCCAGTTGTATTTTTGAGCTAATATAATAAAATTTAAACACTCTTTATTTATTGAATAAAATTGTTATATAATTATGTAATTTATATTATTTGTTTTTATGACATTTTTGCCAAGCTGGCGAGCATTGCTGGGAACCCTGCAATAATCTTGTCTTATTGGCTTCACAAACTGAAAGCATTGCTGTGATAGTTCTTAATACGAGTGATGTTCATGTGTTTTAGGTTGGTGCCGGCGGGAAGAAGAGTCGTCTGCTCCTGTCCATGTCAACTGCTGCCGAGTTTAGGGATCATCTAACAGAATTCAGTGAACACTATGCATCTTTGGGTGGGCATTGTTGCACTTTTGTACGGCTTCAAAATATTGGGAGGTTATCCCATGGCAGACGTGTTGTGATATGATCCAGAAATTTGACCCTGCTGCATCCAGGTAGCATACTTCGATAACATTAACAGTAATTTTAAATTGGTATGCCTAGGTGACTAAGAGGTCCCACCATCTATTGTTCGTCCTGACACTAGGGGTGCCACCATCTACCACTCGAGCACTAGGACTAGTAATCCTATCATCTATCATACATCTGATAATATTCGGTGGATATGCCCCATGAGCAGAGTTCTTTCTTACCACTACACTGTGCAACTGCCCCTAGACTATAGTTTCTGTTTTAAATTGCAACACTGCCCAAACTACACTGCACCTCTGGGGAAAACACTTTACAGTTTTTCTGTGAATAGGCTATGTACATCTGCTGGAAATTCCAGCATTGCTCCAATTGAACTACAGTTCTCCTGCAAGTAACTTTCACTGTCATGATGGAACTGAAGTGATGTAAAAGACTTGCAGATAACCAAAATAACGTTCAAGGTTACTATTACTATTAGGATGTCATAGTTCGTCATTGGGAATAGAAAACATCAGTGGATCATCACAGTTGTTTCTTTGGCATACAGGTTACCTTGTTTCACACTTGATTGTTTTCCACTATGGCCATAGTGAATGTGATAGTTGTGGCAGATATTTGCTGCTGCAAGTGCACTGATCAATTAGTAATCGAGTAAGTGTAAATATAGGTTAGCACCAAACATTCATTTCACAATACAAGTCGCTTCAGTTCACTTTAATAGTTTAACTAGCTTATATTTACCTCATAATATTTCTTCTGCATAATTCAGTCAATTGCTATTGCACCTATCACAAATAACTGCTTAAATTGTACTAGCAGTACAAATCCTACATCTCATCATTAATAAACATACACGCACCTAAACTTGCTTGTCTGAGCAGCCTGTAGGTGTGCAGCTCCAAGAAAAGCAGAGACTTGCTAACTATATCTAGCCATTTTTAGTCTTGTTGCTATGGTTGCAGGCAGATGCGGGGTAATGTGTCCAGGTCATGTCTCTCGTGCATTATAAATTCGATTTTTACCATTAATGTAATTTGACAACCACGCCGTTATCCGACACCATCTATAGAATGGATGAAAATAGTTACGATTCATTTTCAATCACTGAAGTATGTTTAGCCACTCAAAATAGCAAACATTTCAACGGAGCTCTATTGCGAGCAATGTGGCAATATTTCAAAGGCATCCACATACAGATGAAACAAATTCTGATAAGAGAGTAAGTATACGACTATTTTATGTAATCAAGAGCTAATAAACAGTATTTATTAGCTCTTGATGTAATTGATAGTGTAATAAGAGATCGTTTCTGGATGTCTGTACAAGTAGTTGTAATGCTATAACATTTCTACTATACTGTCAAGTTCTCTGTTGCCCTCATTTTTCTCCAAACTGTCAAAGCCTGAGTGTTTGAAGGAGGCTAGCATGCTATTATAACTGGTAATGACCATGCTCAGAATGTTTTTATGCATATGGAAGGATTGCCATTTGAAACGAGCTGAACCGCTTGAGTAGAATATCATATCTATAGTAACTGCCATTTTATTGATTTTTTGCAGTATCGAGGCACCAGCTGAATGCATGGACCAAAGAAAGCCTTCACCTCAGTTTTTCTTACTGAGCTAAATGAGCAATTGTGAGAAAGGCAATACAAAGAATGAAAAATGTCATTGGGAAGTTCTGGTGAAGTTGTATCCATGTAGAAATCAAGAGCAATGTTATTATGAATACATGCCGGCATTTTCTCCCAAATTGTCTTCTCAAGGTAATTTTCAACGTGTGGGCAGGTAGACATGTTGGTTTGGCTTGTAGAAGTCAAATCAAGTTTAGTGTAATTTCGTAATATACTGACTCATGTATGAACAAGTTACAACATTGTTTGATTGCTCTTTTTAATAAAATGCTAATATATTATTATGAAAATGTTTTAGTTTATGTTTAACATGCATTACTGTTACCATGTATAATTTGCCATGCATTACCAGCAGCAACAACATGGGCAGTAGTAGTAGTAGTAGTAGCAGTAGCAGTAGTAGTAGTAGTAGTAGTAGCGGTAGCGGCAGCGGCAGCGGCAGCGGCAGCGGCAGCAACAGCAGGCGAAGTAGCACCACCAGCAGCAGCAGTAGCAGTAGCAGTAGTAGTAGTAGTAGCGGCAGCGGCAGGAGCAGCAACAACAACAGCAACAGCAGGCGAAGTAGCACCACCAGCAGCAGCAGCAGCAGCAGCAGCATTACTTGCAGCAGCAGGAGTAGCAGCAGCAGCAGTAGCAGCAGTAGCAGCAGTAGCAGCAGTAGCAGCAGTAGCAGCAGTAGCAGCAGTAGTAGCAGCATTACTAGCAGCGTTACATTACATGAGCACCGGCACACTGTGTAGTTTTGTCGACCTGCACATCCAAATAAAACAAAGACCTTTTATTCTTTGCATTCCACCTCGCATCATCATTACACAAGTTGTTTGTCTTTAGACTGAGCCATCATTGCTGTGATATGTTTAGATAGTGTGAATAAAACTACGTCGGACCAGGCTTGTTAGAGTTGGCCATATAATGTATGTGTGACAACAGAGTCAAAATCACGATTAAAAATTGTATGTAGACGGTAAGACCATTCGATGATCCGATAAAGCTGCTACGAAACATTCGACATGCAATTTGCGATGGCAACTATAATGGAATACATTATCCTGTTTATGGCGTGGTGCGACCTATAAATGATAGGGTGGTATTATTGGCACTATGGTAACCTCGTGCTGAAATGCCTTATATTCATCAGCATCATTCGCTTGTGTTCCGGGAATGTTGCGTTCTTGCGACTGATTGTAATAAAGGTGTCTTGTCTGCATTACAGGTCCACCAAATCCTGACAATCTTCCTGAAGATGGAAAGTTAAAAAGCGAGACAATGGTCAAAGAGAACCGACGTTATTACTTGGATTTGAAAGAAAATGCTCGTGGTCGGTTTCTACGAGTAAGTGTATGTGTTGCTTTTGATGTTTTTTATTTATTACCTTTTTAAGTTATTATTACTTACGTACGGCATAGCTTACTAAGCATCTAGACCAGGGGTTCATAACCTGTGGTCCATGGACCCCTTTGCCTTTGGGGTCCGTGGATGGGCTTCAGGGGGTCCATGAACGATGCGCATGCAAAATTTTGTGTTTATGTGCTTATTATGTGCATTTTTCTGGGGAGGGGTTCGTAGCTTGCATCAGATTCTCAAAGGGGTCCATGGCTCAAAAAGGTTAAGAACCACTGGTCTAGACTCTCTAGAGTACCAGAGGCTGCACCAGTGATGCAGTTATGTTCGATATGCATCAGGAGTAGATAATAGGGAAGGAGTGTGACATCAATAAACAAGGGAAATTCGTCATTTACTAGCCTTAAAATACCTACGATTTACTATGCGTAACTCATCCAACTTGAGCTCAAATCGTACACAGTACATTCGCCTAGCATCGTGCGAAATCGTTTCCTTGTATACACAAGCAATCTGGAGATACAGACTAAAACGTACGACACGATTATCCATTCTTTGGCCATCAATCCAAGCCCATTGCCCGCCTCTATTAAAACAAAAGGCAGCTACCTAACCACAGCTTGCTAACTCGGCGGGCAATGTGGCTCGCTGGGAGATTTGAGCCCGATCAGCTGCAGCTGATTGCGGTTGGCGTGCGTGCGTGAGGGCATGCCAGGTATGTGCAGAGGTGGCTGCTGTACGCTGGTATGCCTGTGTAGCTGTGTACCGGGTCAAAGGTTATCTCGCCGAGTGTTGATGCCTAATCTCCCAGCGAGCCACATGCCTCGTCGAGTTAGCAATAGCGCGTTAGGTAGCTGCCTTTTGTTTGAATTAGTGGCGCGCAATGGCTTTGGATTGATGGCCAAAGAATGGAGAATCGTGTCGTATGTTTTAGTCTGTATCTCCGCATTGCGGGTGTATACGAGGAAACGATTTCGCACGATGCTAGGCGAATGTACTGTGTCCGATTTGAGCTCAAGTTGGATGAGTTACGCGTAGTAAATCGTAGGTATTATAAGGCTAGTAAATGACGAATTTCCCTTGTTTATTGATGTCACACTCCTTCCCTATTATCTACTCCTGATATGCATGTAGCTTTTCAAGCATAACTGATATCTAGATTGGGAGAGGGAGGGAAGGCTGGAAGGGCAGTTTTCCTCTGATACAATTTTAAGGGTGCGGGGGATTTTAATAGGAAAATTAATTGATGGTGTTAATGAATTTCTCTATTCCATGCACGATTCTATTGGGAAAACAGTTAAATTGATCATTACAGTAGCTACTATTAGATTGCATGCTAATTTAGTGATTGTCTACCTCAAACAAAACAGTGCTAACTGTTTTGCTTTAGACTATACAATATATTATACAAGTTTCCACTGCATAGTACTAGTCATTCCTCAGTGAGTCGTTGAGGGAAATTTTGTGATTGGCCATTTTCACAATATATAGTTCTGAGTGTTAAGTTTTGACAAGGCATATCTTATAAGTTGGGATTAATTTTATTATTAATCCTTTCAAATTAAGATTCTAGCTTTGAAATTTCCACATCAGTGCACCTTCTTATCTCAGAAGAATCACATGGTTTTAAATAATGTTTTAACTTGTTGTAAATATAAACATACATCGTCACAAAATGCCAATCATAAAAATTTTAATCGATTAAATAACATACACATGCAATAATAGCATGGGTATCATTAATAAGTTTAAAATTACTAACTCATATATATATATATATATATATATACAGGGGTAGAAATTAACTTTTGACTATCCCTACACTAAAAAAGAGGGAGTCCGCAGCAAAAGGAGGGAGTCCGCAGTCTGAGGTTCAAAATTAAAGATATTAACAATAATGCATACATGTGCTTATTTTTAAGATTAATTAGATGAAAAAATACAGTAATTCGCAACGCCGTGCTCCGGAACGAACTAGTTAGTATGGCAGAATTTTCAGGGAGTCACACGGACTCCAGCATATGTCAAATCATGGAGTCCGACAGTAAATCAGGGAGTATTTGACTACGGACTCCCATTAATTTCGCACCCTGTATATATATATATTATAGATAAATGTTATCGGCACAGTTTTACTCAGATTATTTTACATCAGCATCTGCTGTTCGCAGGGAAAAAATGTTTGCAGGCATTTTTCACGTGAGACTTGCTTGTATTTGTGTGTGTGTGTGTGTGTGTGTGTGTGTTTATGTGTTTTGTGTACCTTTAGGTGTCCCAGACGATCCCTCGTGGTGGCCCCCGTTCGCAGATTGCTATCCCCGCCCAAGGCATCATCGAGTTCCGTGATGCTCTTACAGAACTTTTGGACGAGTTCGGGACGGATGATGGCAGTAAGTCTCAATAATACGTAGTCCCTCTTTATTCTTCTGTGGGGAGTATCGAACTCTACTTGTAGATATGTGCCCAGAGACATGACAGCCCATTGTATCTAGATATGTTGTCGTTCTTCCCTGCACCCTCACCGCCTATTTGCTCTGTCTTTAGTTCCCAAGTGATTTTCTGTAATTTTAAAAGCCGTTATAGGTGTATTTGCCCCATCCTCGATTGTCCTGTTTAGTTGTATTTTGGCGTGTTTGTGTACTGACCTGCTCTCGAGTGTATACATTAAACGACTGATGACAAACATTGTGTGCTCTAAACCATCAAATCAAAAATTCATAAAAAGTATTTGTCAGCTACAATAGGGCTGTAGACAATGATAGTTCATATTTCATCATTGATTTTTCTTTGTTTTGTCATAATCTAGACACTGTGTTCTGTTGATCTGTAATAGTCCCTCTGTGTTCTTGTTTACAATGCTATGATGAATAGCTTTGGTATATTTTGTTGATAACTACCTACTTACACACCATTTATAATATAGTGGAGGCATTTTGTTTGTGATACCCAAACCAAAAAATATCTAGGCTTCAGTGTCTTTGTTCCAGGTTAACGTTACTTACAGTTTTTCTTACTTTATTATACCAGTTATAAGATAGACCGTGTTTAGAATCTTGAGTCACGTATATCGCAAGCCTGCACTGTTTCCACAAAGCTTGACACCATCGCAAAGGTGTGATGAGCAGGCGACCAATTAACTGAGGAACCCTACTGCTTGTTGCATTTTTGTCTACGAATTATTTTGTAAACATTGGCATGTTTGCTTTACTTGTTATTGTAATGATCCTACAGTACTACATTTATCCCTACCAGCCAACCACCGTTATTGGTTTGCTATGATATGTGTTTACTGGACAGATATATTTGAATGTGTAAAAGCTTTCTTTGCAGGTTATCAAGGTGATTTGCCAGAGGGACGCCACATGAGGGTAGAAAATAAAAACTTCTACTTCGACATAGGTTCTAACCATAGGGGTGTATACATGCGTATATCTGAGGTAAGTGCAGCTGTTAGGACATACATGTCTGTCAGAAAGTCTTATTTGTGTCCTCTTCTCTTGCAGACAGAGAAGCTTGCTTGAGCATATAGTCTTGAGATGTGAGCAGATTGTATTGCAGGGTCAACAACCACTGTCTTTCTGTGCAGTGTTTTTTGAGTAGCTAACTGTAACACAGTTTAAAATTGAGCAAAGGATCGCTTCCTACTGAGGTTCAGGGGGCCGTTGTCAGAAACATTGTAAAGTTAATGCTAATGTTAATGCCAAGATAGCACTTACAACTAATGTTAACGCGTATATTGCGAGAATTTTCCAGTGTTTTCCCCACTTTCATGATACCTACCGTTATTGCTTGAGTAACAGCAATTGTCTAGAGTAACGATAAAATGTCTTAGAACCTTCGTATTCACCAAATGCAATGAAATCATGCACGATTACAATTTTGCGTTCTGTTTCTGTTTACCGTTGCCATCTCTCGAATTTTCTCGCGGTAGCGCGAGACATCTATCACGGTGCAGCAATGCATACCACGCACTGTAGAAATCAGGTCAGAGTGTAAACACAGACGCTCATACTAGCGTAAACAGCAGTGTAGTACTAATGCCACGTGAAGTCTGTTATTAGAGAAGCTTGTGGATTGCCAGTCAGATAGTAACACGGGAATGACAATGACAGAAAGTGCTCTGAATTATTGACATAAAAACTCTATAATATTTACCAAACAGAATTGCACGCCCTTTTGGTTTAATTATGTTCGCTTGTTTGATTTTTGATCGCCATTTGTGATTTTTGAAAGTCTTGACTCGAAAAATTTTGCTGCTGGTATGATGTGGTCAAATCAATTTTTCTATGCTATAACTGCATAAAATATTGGTGTTTTGAATGTTGGTGAAATCAGTGATATTTTCGCTGTCAGGTGAGACTATATTCAGCTATATTTAGTTTTTCTGAGCAAAATTCTCGCAATGATCGTTTTAATGTTACGAGAGTAGCGTTGACAGAAACGTATCGCAGCGATGAGAAAATTCACGATAACAGGAACCTCATAATTTAATGTCACAAGGCTGCTGATTGGATGAGAATCGATCACAAAACTCAAATTCATACAGATTTATTGTACATCACACTAATTTATGCATATCATGATGGGTAACCACAAATAAATAATATTAGATGAAAAACGACACGGTCTTGAATTTATTCTGCACAACAAGACAAATTCTCGCACTGTAACACGAGACGCGAGTCGTGACTTCTCAAAATATCCAAAACAAGAGAACATGCGCCATTTGTAAATGTTTGTTTTTGGTTTACGATCTGTAGAAAATTTATGTTTTGACGCGTTTTTCATATAAAACACATTTTACTAATTATTATAAAGTATAATATCACTATAATTGTAATTCGTAGTGTAAATGTGTTATTTTCCTCGTAATAGTAAAGTTATGAGAGGGTCTGGGCTCTCGTAATGTTAAGAGCATATTTGTGAGGATTTTTCATTCTCGTAACTTTGCGATGTTTCTGTCAACGGTTTACGAGTGGAAGTTAATGTTAAGACTAATGTTAAGACTAATTTTGTTTCTGACAACGGGCCCCAGGTGTTCTGCTCTAAGGCTGAACATACTAAAACCAATAATAATTTATCCAAATTAGTCAACTTCTAAAATGTTGAATTTCTGTGTATGAGAAATTGGAATTTCTTATCTACCTAGTGACTCTTAAGACTGCATCCAACTAGACTACTTATCCTTGTCTAGGCAGAGAATAATTTTTGGGTTCTAGAAATAAAATTGTAAATGTGCACTTGATGAGTTAATGTTTCAACACTCGTTCAGGTAAAGAATAATTTTCGCACTGCCATCACCATTCCCGAGAAGTCGTGGGGCCGCTTTCGTGACATCTTCGCCGACTACGTTGAGAAGATGACTGAGAGTCAGGATGCCCCCGAACGGGCGCAGCAGCAGTCGGGCAAGTCTAGCACCGACGCGGAGGACGCGGACGCTGAGGGTGAGGCGCGAGAGTGAGTGCCACCTAGTGTAGGAGTATGCAGGCGCAGCAGGCGAGGGCAGGGGGGTGTGCGCACGACCACTTGCCGACACTCTGTCTCGCCTAGAACTCTCTGCTGTCTTGTCTGGCTGCCGTTTCTCATTGAGGCCTCGTTGCGGCAGCGCCGATGCAGCAGCGCCCTCTGGGTGGTTTGATCGTGCGCGGGTGATGGCGAGGAGAAACGGTCGGCAAGAAGGCGCTTAAGGCAAGAGTTTGGGTAGAAAGTGGGTTGGTCGCCGGCACCACCTAGTGGAGCTCTGCTGTCCCTCGTGCTGTGCTATTGTCAACGCCAATGTCATGCTTTCTCTGCAGACGAGTGAGTCGATGGTGCACTGCGCGGGGCCTCGTCACCCCACCATCCACCAACCCCCCACAACACTTCTCCTTCTTTCGGTATGAGTTTTCGGTAGTAGAATTTTCACGTGTGTTTGTGTGCCCGTCGTATTAGATATATTAGGAGAGCCGCCGTCGCCTGCAGCGCCTGGCCCCACGCGTGCACCACGCTCACTCTACGAGTGCACAATTGTCCACTATGATCAGCTAAAGGTAAAAAGACTTTTTATACCAGATTCAATTCTGTATTAGAAAAATCTGTGATGGATTGCGACGTGTTGCATTTTGTGGAGCACACGTAGGAGGTAGATAAATCGAACATTACGCGTTCAAAAGCGCGTGCGAGATCAGCAAGCTTGACTTTCACAGCAAGATTGATGTTCGTACACAAAGAGATCTACTGGCGGAATGGCCAGCCACAAATGCATTGGTCTGGTCTGGTTGGCCACGCCCACGATTTGAGAAGGTATACGTGACATGGTAGAAAGGGTTACGAGCGCGTCGTCGTGACAACCATGTCACGGCGTCGCCGCTCGGTTCCACAATAACGGAAAATGATCAATTCTTTTTTCACATTGACAGTTTTATTATCCAGTGGATATCTGTATCTAGTAAAATTCTGAGTACGCATCTCCAGTCCTTATTTTCACCCCCATGTGCCACTGTGACTTTAGTTGAATAGGTTTTGTTTCTCTGCTTTCTCCTCCTCCTCTTCTTCTTCATCGGTCAACTCCGTTATGGTTTGGTTGTACGTGCAGCCTGTGAGGATACTTGCTTGTGCATTGCGACACGGAAAGGTGCCGTAGCTATATCCACCGTAGTCCGTTGGATATGCAGGAATTTTTTAGTTAGGATTGTCATTACATGAGTTGAACCGTTTTGCCGGCTGTGGTAAGGGTAGACGAAGTAATTTAGTGTTGATAATGTATGAATTTGATTCGAGTCTCTGCGTTTATTCGGGAATTGGTTCCAAGTTGGAGGAAGCGTTTGCAATGTACAGGTGCTGTAACATCTCAGTATGCTCCATTTATCACGCTCTTCCCATATCCATGTTCCTTTAAAATCATGAACTCGGTGCTGGAACGTCCAGCGAATTCTAAATTCGAATATTTTGTTTTTGCTGTGGCTGGCTGGCGAGATTGCACGCGATTCTGTGATGCCCAGGCAAGTACCATCAGGACGATGAGAAGAAACTGTAGTAGCTACATGTACAATCATGTTGTATCTCGTGACCGTCAGTGCGTCGTTGATATTTATGCTCTAGGAATGGATATAAGTTGTTTGATTCACAGGGGTTATCGTTATTATAATTATGGTGACTGTTTAGTGGTTATTGACACAGCATACTATCACGTTTGTGTCCACGCCCTGCTTAAGGAGTCTAGTTTGCATTGGATTGGATGGTTAATTGTGCATTGCACCTAGCTGTATCGCATACGAGCATATGAAGTCATAGGCATTATAAAGGGAAGGTTAAGCCAAGGTTGAAGTACATAGCTATGCGAGAGAGTATTCTTTCTGAATGTCTGAGTGTGTTAAATAATATAAGGTTTCGATTATTGTAACCAGGAAAATCATAGGTATTTCACCCTTCTTACTACGTTGGAGTCCTGATGTTTCTAATGAATTTTATTTTGAGAGGTATTTCCGAGCCAGCCTCAATGAGGTGTCAGGTGGTTGCCCATAACCCCGGTGTTATCGCGTAGTATATGTAGTTATTACCACTGCGTGCTGCCACTGTTGAGGCGTGCGCACACGCGTAGCGTGCACTCTATTCTCGCGAGATTCTGCGAGAGACGTTCTGAGAGGGCGCTTAGAGCTCCCGCCGTTGTTCTGCCACGTTGATGGTCGGGTTTTGTTCGGGATGGTTTGGTGCGGCTGCAGCTGCGTGGCCTGCAGGCGCGTGCTGCACGTTGTCGTGGCGACGCAGGCCTGTCGAGCTGCGAAATGATCGTTTGTCCTTCTAGTCTGTTGCTGACAGCGAAACCGAGCAGTCGAGGTCAACCGACGGAACCTGCACGTTACATTGTCGCTGCCGAAAATCAACGGTCCCGCTATATACTTGAGTCTAGTGCCGTGTTTGTTGTGTTTTCCATTTTTAAGTGAACGATTGTTATCGGTTGGATTCCACCCACGCGCCCCCCACCCACCCCACATGTGATTCAAAATATGTTCTGGTTGGTTGAGTTCGTTTATGCCGGGGTCAGTTTGTGCGAGATTAAGAAACACCCATGTCGGCATACCCTGATGAACGCCCCTGGAGGCTGCTTTGCAGCAGCAAAGAGGCGAGAAGGGATAGTTATATTTGCGAGCAGGTTATTAATATTATTGCATGGAAACATCTTTTATCCTATACCGTTGGAAGGTGTTACGTTTTAGTCTTCAAGTCACACTGTTTCGAGCCAGTGGGTGAAAGAAATAGGTTCATGCATTTAGCTCCACATGTGTTCTGTACGTTGGTCATGTTTTAGGTAAATGCCTTGTAGCAAAAATGCCAAGACGTTCTTAGGTAGACTGTAGTCAGATTATGAAGTTGCATATGATATAGACGTCTTCTAAAAAATGGTTTTAAAGAGAAAAAGTTACTTTGATATATTTTAAGTATTTTTGTTTATGAATTATGTTTGGAATATTTAAAGCTAGTTAATGCTAGTTGACTGCTTCCTTTATTGTTAAAGGTGGCATCGAGAAGTTAATATGCATCGTGCACGGCCGTTTACTGTCCTAGTCCTAGATGTAAACCATACACACGTGTTATAATGTCTCTCCCAATCAGAACCGCAGCTTTTGTCTCACCACTTATTTTTGACACGTTTATTTGTATCTGTCGTAGAGCTTTCTCGCGAATTTCTTCAGTAGTATGTCTAACCGTATACTGGATAGGCATGCAGGCCCTGCATCTCCCGCACAGTGAATTCATCTCGGTTGCCCAGATCGAGAGAGGGCCGGTGCTGTGACCTCTACTAATAGGCGTCGCCACATCTCCCGGCCCGGCATATCAACGCCATCTAGTGGCCGTTGTGAGCCTCGTTGCGAGGGTGATCACATGCCTGCTCGTAGACGTCGTGTCATATGTGTTTCCCAGTCTCTCGGGTGCTGTCAACGGCAGTGCTCAGCTTACCAGTGTTAGCTAGGGTCCTGTTTCATACCACTGTTGATGGGCTCTGGAAGCTGCATTTTGTATTTAGTATTAGAGATAACTGAGTGTGAACAGTTGTATCCGTTATAAAATTAATAATACTATCACAAAAAATTGTTCTACAAACTTTGTTGTGCAAATCAATACATATTACACGGATCTTGCTTTCTGCTGGTTGTGTTCTTGGTCTGTTTGTAAAACGCAAGATTAACGCTGCTTAGTGGCAATAGTACAGATAGGTCGTAGTACGTTGGGACTACTTGAGGGTTGACAGCTACTTCACACACACTTGCATGCACGCACGCACGCACAAGCGATTAACCAAGGCTCGGTCACGCAGTTATTGATGTACAAGATGTGAAGACTACTACCGTTATTATCTGTGGAGAAGAGCGACAGGACGGAAAAGTCGGAGGAAATGTATTCAATTTTTAGACGCGCATGTAGACCTGCGATGGCACTCATATCCTTGTCAGATAGCTGCCACTCAAAGTCACTCACCAAACAAATGCTTAATGTAGCAACCTGTGCACTTTAAGCAGAATATATCTTATGAGTGACCACTCTGAAGTTTTTTACGTATATTATAGAATTCACGAAATAATTATTCTATCACTACGTAACATGACGCAATGGCCATGTTTACAATTTAAATCTGAACAATAAAAAGAAAATAGAAATTTTCGTTTATAATTCATTTTATGTAATTCCAAGTTTATGTTCTATGTCCTAATTGAGATATTAACCCCCCCCCTTTTATTCAGCATTACTTTGCACGCTCATCTGTTTTGAGGATTTAAAATAATAGCACTGAATCCTCATTAAATGCCGTTTTTTTTAGCTCATCTGACATGGTCAGATGCAACTTGTAGAATCGCATGAGCGTCCGTCCGTCCGTCCGTCAACAGTTATGGCACAAATCTTAACCGCTTGACGTACGGTCTTGATATTGAGGACGTCGGGGGGGATCGGACTCGGGATGTCGAATTTGGGGGTCAAGGATCAAATGTCAAGATGTGTCAATGGAGGGGGAATATTTCCCCCTTAACGTAAAGCCGGGCGCACACGTGGCGATTTTTATCGACAGTACCGGCGATTTTTATCGACAGCACTGTCGATAAAAATCGCCACGTGTGCGCCTCCCGGCGACAATGCAACCATCTGTCAGCGACATACCACTGTATGAACTGTACGTGACCTGTTCAAACCACACCATGGGCGCTGCCAATATTTGATCATATGCTTCAAATCATGCATTTGATTGGTTAATCCAAAAACTTGCCTGAATCCGTCGCCTGGTCAGCGCACACGTAGCGATTGTTCAGCGACTCGGCAATATCAAACATGTTTGATATTCCAGCGACGAGTTTCTGGCGTCAAAATCGGTGACGCCGTGCAGCGCACACGTGGCGATTTCTCGGCGATTTTGTTGCTGGCAACAGAATCGCCGGTACTGTCAATAAAAATCGCCACGTGTGCGCCGGGCTTAAGGTATAGGAGGAAATACGGAATGGCGGCACAAATCTCATTGGCTCGACCTACACTCTAAATATCTGATGTATAGTGTGATGGGGAGGAAACCCATCACCAGCGCGAAATTGGAGGTCACAGGTCAAAGGGCATTGGGGGAAAGGCCAGATATCAGACATTTTCTGAGGACATGGTCTAACTGACCGAGTGGGAAACTTTTTTGTTTCAGCGCTGACCTACCATTTTTATCACTTTATTGAAAGGACCATGAAATGTACTTTTCGCTGACGTGCGAAGAGTAAGTGTCTGATAACCTTTTGACCCTCAAGAGGAGGGTTAAACATGGATTTGTTGACTGTTAACAAAGGACTGAACTGTGTTTGATGGTACTTGTGTGATCGTGGAAGACTTAAATTTCACAGTGAAATTCTGCATGTAAAACTTACTTGAACAACGTTTACGTGCATTAAATCTTATATGAACTTCATTCTCTATATGTGATTCTGTACATTGGGAATACAATGTCAATAGCACTTACGCAAACGTCTACCAATGAAAATCCATCGGCACGTCCTCCACACAAACAAATCAATTCGTAGCCCTGTCCAGTATTCATGCATTCTAAAGTTCTTCATTTCACTTCAAAGTCACACTTGGGTATTTTTTACCCAGGAATAACTAATCTATAGCACGTTATGTACTAAGAAAACGGCATGTACTAAGAACCAGACATCAGATGAGCCATGTCGCACGGCGGCACTTGTTTTATAGAGGTTTTAAAACATGTACGTTAATATTGGGGTTAGGTTGTTTTAAAGCCGTGGGGAAAAGAGTGGCCACTCTATATGGAGAAGATATTGATAATTATCCGTGCAGAGTGTTATCATTGTGGTGTATAATAACAGCTGATGTTAGATCTCCCACTGTTCGCTATGCTGCTGTTTTCCCCGTGTCCTTGTATTCCATGGGTAACTATGTCGTTAACGATCAAATTTAGTGTAAGTTGCCCCGCGCATGTTAGTCATGTAAACTATACTAAAGGGATTGTATTTTGGAATGCCTCTATGTGGTCCTACTACGTATTTAAGTGAACGAACTGCAAGGATGAGATTAAGGTCATGCACATGCGCGAATAAAACAATAACAACCTAATCATAATTATATACATCACTGTTCTTCTCGAGAAACATGTACTATCCTTTACAATTGAGCAGAATTCAATCTTGTGTGCTACATTCCATGTCTAATCGAACACTGCAAAACTTGATACTCCACTGTTAACATACAAGATGCTGCCTATATTATAATCCTCGAATCCCTTTTCACTTGTCACCACACGGAGCAGCCTGTCATTGCAAAGCCAGTTTGTTTACTTCAAGGTACGTCGTTTAAAATAGACCAGGTTATTACGTAAGGCGTATATTCAAGGCGTGGATTCAATGTTTCCCATTCTCTCAGGTGGCTTTCAACTAATCTCCAGTTTAAGGGTTTATTACTATACTTGTAAGCAACACGTGTAAGAAGCGTGATGTCATCATCGTTATGGCAACGGGGTGTTGTCACATAGAACTAGAATAGAAGTTCTCTTCTATTCACAATAACTTCTATTCGAGTTCTGTGTGATGTCAGGAGGCGTGCCGTGTGTGGTGTGACGTCAGTAGAATGACGCGGGCAGCATCACCTCGCTGCTTCTTTGCACACACGCTCTATCAGCATATACACAGTAAACAACCATCTAATCACAGACACGAGGGTTATCTATCGTTGCTATACGACTCTGTCATTAACCGCGAGTGACTAGCAAGTCTTTCACCGGTGGCCTGTGAAAACACGTTCGATAACAAAGCATATGTTCTTTCTAGATACAAATATGAGCCCTACCCTACTTTGGTTGTCTACTTATTTGTATCTAATATTATTTCATAGGCATTTTTCTTGTGATGTAAGCGTGAGCGCTTGAATACAAGTTTCTTACCTTTTACATAAGACCTAGGTGTGACCGTGACGCTGTCCCCTGTCCTCTATGCATTACATACCTTTATCGATAGACCTATACATAGAATAACCCATTCACAGACGAAACAACAAGTGACTTGGCAGCTAAAATGCATGTTGACTGCCCAACTATAAAACTATCAATCAACTTCATATACAGGCACAGTTTTCACAATAGGTTTGCGTTTCCTTACACAAGCACTACAGACACATTCGGAGTGTTACGTGACTGCATTCGTGAAAAACCGTTAATAAAACGTATTCGTTTACACGGTAATGTTAATATATATATATATATATATATATATATATATATAAATTCTTGTTCTTTATATAATATAACATTACGACGTAAATGTATACTTTTGTAAGCTCGTTATGCCGAGTAATAGCACAGCTCTCACGACATATGGTGATCATATGTGATCATATATATCATGATCACAGCACGTGATGCCACCACCAGTCACGTGAACACTAGCGGGGTTTGATATGATTGCGTGAATGCTCGCTACGCATGAGCAATATATAACTACACACCGTACTAAATACGGACGACATCCACGGACGAGCTGATCCCCGTCGGTAACGCATCGAGTGAAGCAGCGCACCCAGCTACGCGTAATCCGTATATACATGAGCTTCAGCCTCCAGCGAACGCCATCGCGAGACATAAGACGCGCAAGGCTTGACCGACGCACGCATGAGTACACTCAACGTCGTACTCTCACATGTCACTACTCACGTTTATTGCAGCCAGGAGAACATGTAGGCCTATATCTACTGCTATTTTACATCACACGCTGTGTTTATGAGCATCCGATCGCAATACGGCACTGCGACCATGGTTCGCTTTAAATTCCGTTTCGTTGTAAACAATAATAACGATCATAATAATAATAATAGTAATAATAACAATAGTAGTAATATCGTTGTAATGCAGAATCAGAATTTATACAAGCCCTTTCCTCACGCTCACTGCCATACCAAATGATGAACAAGATGTAGGCCTAGTGGGAACGCGGAGCACACTTCCAACTATTTCTGTTTACAGATGTTGCAAGCACAGGTTAAGTCTGTCAGCTTGTATGTCAGCAGCAGCACTGTTCAGAAAGCTAGGCCTGGCAGTCCTCTCACGCGTCCATGCTCTACGGGGCCGCAGCCGGGGGCCGCAGTAGCCCTACAACGCGTTTAATTTGTCACTCAGAATTTCGTCGGCGGTTTAAAAAACGTCTCAATCTCATTGGTTAAAAAATCGAGTAAACGAAGCTGGGCGCAATACGGTGCCATGTAAGCTGTGTATCACGTATCGAGGAGGTATACTCGCACGGTGAGAACACAGGCGAATATACAGAAAGAGGATCATCATAGAACCACATAGCGCTCACACGGCTCGTGCCAGTACAAAAGTCGCCACGTTCAGGGTCGAACGTTACATGTCGATGTGGAATCTGCATCCAGCGAATTTATATGTATCGGTGACGGATAATAGATGACGGTGGCGTCTCGTTGCGGTCGTCTTCACTGAGTGGATTTCGTATAACAATCGTATAAAGAACGAGGCATGAGTGACGCCACGCTGATGAGCTGTGATGCAGATTTCCTGCTGGAATGCAACAGCAATGGATGGGGAGTCTCTCGTTCTCTCGCTCTCCCTCCGTCTCCTGCTCCCTCTCTTTATCCCCGATACTCAGCCACGCAGGTAAAGAGAAGAGACGAGTCCAGTACTGTTGTAGTGAACGCGGTTACGACGCTTGCGGCGGCTTCGTGTAATCTTCGACGAGAAATACCAAATACGACGGCCAGTAGATGATGTTGAAGATGAAGAAGGAGAGCGGGAAGATAATTCGACAGCGGTCGTCCAGGACCTTTGCCTTCTTCTTGTGCTTCTCGTCCATCATCTTCTGAGTTTGCTCCTCTGTGGTCATCACTGGCAGCGCGCTGGCGGCGTAGTCCGTCTGCAAACACAACACCAGCATATAGAGCAAGATGGCTGACTAGAATTCAGATGCAAATGGTCATTCGTGAGAATAAACAATCGCCGCATTGCGGCAATCTATATAATCTAATGCGATCTAACTAAACGTGTGTGGCTGGCTATACGTCGTAGATTTAAATTGCGATCTTGAAATGTCGATATATTCTCGTAGTTTGTGTAACGATAGAACATATTTCTTACGTTCATAAACATGAGATGCTAGGAGATTGTGAATAGGACAATTCGTGGTTTGCGAATTATCAAAAGGTAATTTTCTCAAACTATATGCATTTTAATTCGTTTGAATTTATTCAGACGAAATCAAGTGATAAACACTGCGAACCCGACTAGCACCATTTCAAAGCATCGCTGATAATGAGCAGACCATGTGAAATTTGTATTTTGATCAGCAGTGTAAATATTTGAACACCAGATGGCGCCATGTGACTGACGCAACGTAAGTCACAGTTCCGTAGAAAACAACTACATAGAACATGGAACATAACTTCGCTAACATTAACTTGCCAAAATATACGATACATACCCGCCCCAAGCTTTTCAAAAAGGAGGGTGGCATGACAGGAGCACTTAAAATTTTCTGTGAAATAATTTGCGCGAAGCGCACATCACGAGCGCGAAGTTCATCACAGCCGGGTCCCCTGCTTGGAGCATTTTTGCACACAATGTATGCCCAATATTTCAGAAAATAATGGTTGATCGGCTGGCTAATCGAAAGTTTTATACGCGCGATACAAATGCTTTATGCATAAACACGCGAAAATATTGGCCCTACGCTATCATTTGCGCAACGAATTGACTTGCCGGCCAAATAACTAATTCCCGGGTAAACTCTGGAACAAAAGGGAGTGCAACCGCACCCATCGCACCCCTCCCCACCTTCGGACGGCCATGCGATATATTATAATGTTAATGTTATGCTATGCATGTCATACGTCGAACTACGCATTTGAAATCATGCATCGTCGGCTAACAACAAAGCTATCAAAATCTCTGCTCTGAAAGGGAAATTTTTATGTAAAGTAGATTAATATCAAGTATTCAGATCAAATTTAATTAATCCGGCATAGGATTTCCGGGCAAACGTTGTTATTATTATGAGACTGAATCGGTGGCACAAATGCGTTTATGGAAACGAAATTGCCCATTTTCTATCCTACCTTCGTTCAGATCGTTATAGTTTTGGTTTCATCAGTTTCCTTATTTATTCATAAGCGTTAAGCTATAGTTTAGAAAGTACAAGCTTGTAATTAATATTCAAATTATTATGCGAAATGAAGCAGCGCTATCGTGTTAGAGAGTATTCATGCTTGTGCGAAGCTGCTGCGTGTGCATACGATTCCGCATAATTGGTAGGCTATTATCGTCCCCACACTGCTTTTCCTCTAACACACACACAGGGAAAATACACACTAGGACTCTAATGTCAAACAAGGCATACGCAGTTCATTGACGTATATCACCATCCGACATATAAGGGTTCCTCGGTGAAATAAAGCCTCCGCGATATTAAAACTTTACGTCTCTATTTCGAATTAATTTAATCGGTCCGTCGACTACACAAGTTATTGAGCGACAGCGTCTATTGATCAGTACTTCTACGTTCTAATTTAGCACAACCCTTTCACACATACGTCTCTTGCACGTGCAGCGGACATTTATAGTCCTAAGTCCTAATTAAAACTTTAAATTTATCTGCCACATTTTAGCGTTACAGCTTAACTAGAGAGCTTTTGAGAAAAATACATCGAAAAAACAGTTAGTTAAACACGTAAAGTGACTGTCATTAGCATATATGTAAAAGGAATTACCATATAGTTTTCCACGTTCAATATTCTCGTAAAATAGACGATAAAATAGTCCAAGGAGGTAAACACGTATTTATACGTACTTATTTACCTCTGTAATATGTACAATAATACAATACTATAATGATCGGCATTAGCATACATTATTCATGCGCAGCATGAGCTAAATATGAAAGTAATCTAAATATTGTGTTAATAATGTACGCTCAGAACGATAGTTAAGCTTTTTTGTGATTATATGTATACATATATAAATAAATATAATATAATTATATATATTATATATATATATATATATAAGCTAATATATAAGTATAGCGGTTAGCAAGGTAAGTATAAGTAATGGGTGAGTATAAGCGTAAGCAGACCTCGCAGCCGTCGCTGTTCTCGCTTTGCCAGCCCATCGAGTCGGGTATGTGCTGCGAGTTATCTCTCCACACACAGTCACTTACTGTTTCACCGGCCAGCCGGGAGCCGATCGTCTTGTACGTCTTAGGAACGGGCAGCGCGTTCTACAACATACAGGGCCGAACCGGCGATTAATACCTGCACGGCGCGTACGCAGCCTTTACAGCGCCGCTAAATTTACTAAGCTTGGCAAAGAGAGACTCTTCCAATTAGATATGTGGCATGTCCGCCATCTATGTGCATCTACTCCCCCCCCCCACTGTTTCGTATGCCCTCCGCTGTCGTTGCCTCTGTGCTGCACACTCTAATGCCGCTAGTTCATTCGTGTTACCCTCTCCCTGCCACCGCCCCTCCTGATTCCCTCCCTCTGATCCTGCCCCTGTCATGTTTCCTGACTCTGACGCTTCTAGGCCACCCGTCTTTGCCTGGTCCATCTAAATCGCCGCTCACTCACTCACTCACTCACTCACTCACTCACTCACTCACTCACTCACTCACTCACTCACTCACTCACTCACTCACTCACTTACTCATTCACTCACTCACTCACTCGCTCACACGCTAACTCACACACTCTCCCTATCACCCTACCTCTGATGTAATGCATAAGGACACTAAATCGTAACCGAATCAGACGCTTGGCGTTTTGCGGCTCCACCTACCCTCTAGTCTGCACGCAGAGTATAAGTTTGCCCCGCTAAGATTTTGATACAGTGGCGCCGGTTTCTTCGTCGAAACGAAACAGCATTTAAGATAATAATTTTAACAAATGGGCGAGTCGTGCAGTGTTATTTCGCGCAAGTTTTGAAAACGTGGGAATTTTGCAGACGATTAATTAGCGTAGCGTGTTGAGAACACGAGTCGTTGAAACTGTTTTGTACGTTTACACGAATAATTTACGTGCAGCCCACCGCAAACTTGGATATATATTAGGAAATTGCTAACCGTTAAACGCAGAAGCGCTCGCCTCTTGCAAGTCGTCGGGTCTTAAAACGACTATACGGTCGCCATGATCAATGCTTGACATTATAGCTGGCGCCTAACAACGAATTGCGTCACACAAAAGTGCAGACTCAAAGCAACTATGCAGAAAAGCACTATTCTAATAACGTGTAAACTACCAGTATGGTTAGCGCGCCTACATCATTCACAATAATCGTACACCACGATAAATAGACAGCTTAGGCTGACGCTCAGGTGAACATCGAACGAAATTGGTCGATTGCGTCACGTGAACATTGCTTGGCGCGCGCGGGCCATTTTCTTCTTTACCCCGTCCGTGAAAATCATCTGTGTGGTGGTGAGCTTGTCGTTATCTTGGTGCCGCATCTTGGCGCCGAGCCCGCAGAAGCCTGGCTTGATGGCCCGTTGTGGGGGACGCTTGCGGGAGAGATAATTGGTCATTGTGAACTCCAACAGAGCGCCGAAAACAAATATCGTGCATGTGCCCATCCAAACCTGAAGGCGAAATCCAAACACCATAATCTTTATATAGCAATTGGGAGCGGAAAACAGCATGTTAACAAACGTTATAATTTAAAGGGATGTGAAATCATAATAGAAATAATATATAGTTATATATATATACATATAT